ATTTCAAGTTATTCTCTTCAATTTAATCACTGTAAAAACTTCAGCTATGTCCATGATGCTTATAATCCTGTGAAACAGTGAGGGGGTGAGATTGTGAATAGCACTGAAACTCTGGACTCGTAGTCATGTGGAGGGCTTAAGGTTAGCTGCTACTGCTAAGCTACCATGACTTGATCTGTGACAGAGAAACCAGACAGCTGGATAGTGAAACAGAGAGAGAGAGAGATAGACAGAGGGTTATGGTGAGGGGGAGGAAGACAGGATTAAGAAGATGGATTTGGATGCTGGTGAAGGGTGGCCAAACGGTGAGAATGAAGGGAAAAAAAGTGAGAAATAAGGCTTACCAAGGCAAGGCAGATTAAGCAACGCCTGAAAGCGGTCATCTGCTGGATGCTGTTTCAGATGAAGCTCAGTGTGCCAGTCAATGAATCAGTGAAATACCTACATCTGACCTTCCATGAAGGACGGACAAACTCAACTTTCTTTACAGAACAAATAACAAAGCACGCAAAATAACTTCCCTAACAGTATTTAGAAGACTGTTTAAAAACTGATTTAACATACTTAAATTTAAAAGTTAAAAAACTTCACATATTTAAAATTAATCTTTGAAGGACAACTAACTCAGTGAATACAAAGATAACTGAACCTTATATCATAAAATTATCAGAGTTAAACATTAAACATGAGACTGCAATTAGGATATCGAACAAACACTCAAATAAAATGACTCTGACATCATGCCAATATTCCTTCCTACGGTCAACTAAAATAAATTTGTGTTGGGAGCTGCTGCAACTCAGCTCTATATGCAGTGTAATCTGGTCATAATTTGCTTTCTTTTTGATAATTGCTACAATTGAGTTTCCCATTTGTTACATCATAAGTCACCTGATGTTCTTACCAACGAGCACATATACATGTGGAGGAGTGAGGTAAGTTCCTGCCACTTTGCTGACAAGATCAGATCAATAGCTAATGATGTAAATACCCACATTAATATTGTTTTTAGGATTCAATTTTAAACTGACATTAGTCTTGGACTAAAGATTAAATACACTTTTTTTTATCCCGTAGGGGAAATTCAGTTTCAGTACTGCCCTTACCACAATAGGATCAAGCAGCCAATTATGGCGCAGCACTATTTATAGTTATTCCAGACAAACGTAGTCAACCTCTGTGTTTAAGCATCAAAAAAGCATGATGCGGAACATTACCCTACGCTTTCATTTGGCATAACAAAGTGGCAGGGGAGACACTTCCAGAAATGCAACATTAGTCTCATTTTAGTATTCTGCACATGTCCTCCTTTAAATGACTGAGGTCAGTATAAAAAAAGACAGACAAGGGAGAAAAGTATCAAAAACAGATCAATCAAGAGTAAAAAAACAAAAAACAAACAAATCTTTAACTAACTTTTAACTTTTTCAAATAAAGTTAAAGACTGATGAATTACCATAATACTGTCTTAGAGGGGGAATTATTTTTCCAATCCATTCTGAGGTGGTGTTAAGTACAACAAAGACAATTCATGTTTTAACTATATCTCTCTTCAGAGCTGTACTGTGTCTGGAATTTCTATTAACAGAAGATTAATATTCAGTGTATTAGCACGACTTAAGTGAATTCATATTAATTTGAATATCAAAGGCAGGTAGCTAACTTAAGAAGACAGACACTTCATTTTTGTCACACATCTGGTTTGCCTTTCTAAAAGCTTTAATTTTCGCCTCTTTTTCGAAATACATAGTGTTAGCTAATACCTTGAGGCATGCAGCAGAACAATTTACACCAGCGAGATGAAAAAGGTGACAGAATTAATTACAGCATTTAAAGTTCAGATAGCAACACTCTCAATGCCTGTGAGAAAATAAAACAAGATAGGAAGAAAGAAAAGAAAGATAGTTGTGTTGAAAGTTACCCTTGCCCTGCAGCAAATTAGGAATGTTTAACACAGCCAAACACATCAAAGTGTGATTTGATACAGGGAGCAGGGCTCAGCAGAACCAACTCAACTTTAAAACTGGATCTGAGTAGGGTTACAGATCCCCTGCACTCATTCACTCCTTTTTAGTGTCTTTCTTTTGACCGAAATTAAGCACGATTTGTTGAGTTTGAATCCTTTTTTTCATTCTCACCCAGTAAATAAGGACCCAATGCTTTTTCATATCCAGCTGATTGCTGGGACGTTATTATTTTGACTGAGGTTGACAGTGGCTGTCATGGCTGTCAAACGGCTGAGTCTGCAGAATATCAGTCTGCAGGTTATAGTGTGATTGCTGACATGCTCAATCAGCCATTAAAGAGAAATCACTGTCAGAGCAACACAACTGATGACAATCAGTCATCACTAGAGGAAGACACACAGAACCAATCGGACTGAAGGTAATTTTAAGAAGTTTGCAGGTCTGTGTTTTTGCCTAACCAATGACAAACTGGCACTTACACAGCAATGTATTTGCTGATATACAAAAATATACATATCCACTTGAATACTCAAAGCAGTTACCCCTGTACACTTGTCTCATTACTCTTTGTTTCACTGTTGGACAAGTAAATATGACCTCGCAAAATAAATTGACTCATTAAGATATCTTAACTGAAAGTACTTGGAAAAGTTTAACATTTTACACAGCTTAATCCTTTGAAATAAAACAAATATTTCTAATAGACTAGTCAATTGTATTGTACATTGTATGATCAACATACATGCAAGAGAATATATGAAGATGAACAGAATTTTTTATACTGTACTGTTTTGTAGTTTCTTCTGTGGATCAAACTACCTGCTTCTGCCAAATGGGATAATATGAATATTTACCCTTACAACCTATTTCTTTCAGCTCCAATCCTAAACTACAGACCAGTGACTATACTAAAATTTGTAAAGATTTGCATCTATTTAATTTGTTTTCACACCAACGAGGAGTGGTTCCTGGTTCCGATCAGAGAGTAAGAAGAAGGAGAAGTTTTATGTACTTTTTATCAAACATTACAGCAGCCAGATCAGTACATGCATTGCAGACTAGACAACCAAAAAATGAAAAACACTTTTTCATCAGGACCCCAAACACATGGCTGCCCCATAAACAGCCTAACCCAAAAACAAGCTAACTAAAAGGATACTAAAATATCAAAACATTCTATTAAAAAACATTTAACAAGTAAAATACTATGAGATTCAGACAATTTCAGAATATTAAGGGAATTCATAACACTATGATAAGTACAACGCACAGAAAGCGAGTTATATGGGAAAACAATGCCATGCAACCTGTGATGAGAAAGCAAAGCTGGAGTTGAATGTAAGATTAAAAAGCATGTGTCTTTCCAGCATATTCATTACAAATAAAAATTCCTTTCAGGGATTAAACACTGACTGGTTAAAAAGGTTGGATGTAACATAAGGTGTCAGCGAAGAGGAAAAAACACAGCAAACCTTAATCCCCTAAACTTTCTTCTGAAGAAAGCACTTTTTAAATTCCAGACTCATCTTTCCGCGGGGAGGGACTGTTATCAGCCAATTTTTTCTTCGCCCCCTGCCTTCTTTTTCCTTTCCCCCTTCCCCTTTTCTGATACATCTGCCAGGTGTGATAAGACAGACAAACATTACCTTTACAGGGCTATTAAAACCATTTCCCCTCGTAGTTTTGAAATGATTATCGCCTTAGGCCCACAGTTACAGGTTAACTGATAGCTCACCTCCATCTGCCCATATCTGGGTGACTCTTTGAGGCTTAGGGCTGGCTGGGTGGTTGAAGATTATGTGCATTGCTAAAAATGGTTGAATACCAGGGGAATGCAGGAAAGGTAGTTATGAGGGGAGAGGAGAAAAGGAACAGCTGAAATGAAAAGAGCAGGAGTCCTGACATCCACAATGCTGTGGTGGATGATAAGGGATATGATGACAGCTCTTCCTCCCGCTGTCTGGAGCTTGGACTGACTTTATGAGGGACACATTCCCAGGCAAAAAGGGCATCTGCTGTCAGTCTTTAAGGGAGGCAGATCATTTTTCGGGAGGCTTTGAAGATTTCTCTCATTATTTGATAATACATTCATAATGTATTAGAAATTCAATCAACTTGCAGCAGTAGGGAAGTAGTAGTGAAGACCACAGTTGTCTGGTTTTGAAAATACCAAGCATTTTGTACACAAGATACTTGGTTGCAACTGAGACGGCTGCAGTATCCAGCTCATAGTGCAGATGCTTTCAGCCAGCATACGCTGTCATCCAAATCCTCTCAAACCTTACGTCTGCTCTGCAGAGATATCACCACTGACACCAACAACTGCAGACGTCCTCCCAAACCTGCGTCTGACTTATCTGTGGCTGATGGATGATCTTTATTTTCTTTCAAGTTCTAGCTTCATATTAGGATGTATCTCATTCTCATATGCACAAGTCAGATTCGATCTTTTATATCAACATGAGATGCAGAACAGAAATGACAATGCCATTACATAAAAAAACAACAATGTTCTGGTAAGCAAACAGGACAGAATGCAAATGGATGGTCGAGGTTTAAGATGTTGTCTCCTAAAACCAAAAACAAAGGAGTTTTCTTTAGCCGCACTTAAACATTGTAAACCATGTAATCTGAATTAAGGCAGTTAATTGAGGTAACTAGGAATACATAGTAGCCTTAAGTAGAACGCACAAAAGAATACAACCCCTCTCTAATTGCCCTTGTACCATTTAGATTGTAATTACGAACAAAGTCACTTTTGCACACCATATCCAGAAACATCCTGTAAGGTCACTGACCCTCTAATCTACATAAAGAATTACACAGGTGTTGGAGCAGGGTTTACAATAGTCTAATACTGAATTATCAGCTCTCACTAGCCAGAAATGAGTTTTTAATACAAACCCTGATAACAAGTCTTAAGGGAACTACTAAGCATGTGGTTTATACGACCAGCTGGGAGGAATAAAGTTTACTGAAATAAATAACAGATGTTTTTTTTTTTTTTTTTTTTTTTTTTTTACCTCCTCCCAGAGTGACTGAGCACATAGCTTTTGTCAAGTAGACACAGGCAAGAATTCAAGTTGACATCTCTACAGCTAATGCCCATTCAAATAGAAATATCCTTTGGGGGCAATACATTCTTTGAGTCTTGTAAGACTTTCATAGTTAGTATGGTAAAAAATGTCATGAGAAAAACAAAAAATCTACATGAATATTATATGTTACATTAAGTCAATGGTACAGTAGAACAGATATTCAATTCTTGGCTGTTTACAGAAAATCATTTGTCACGAAATAAGTCACCTGAGGTTTTGTTTTACCTTGTTTTTTGATACAGTAACATCACAAAGGACCTTTGACTTTAGTAGCTCTTTTAGACAGACGCTGTGGCCAACAGATCACTGGAGGTGACTGGAACTGCTCAGCCATGCAGTCAAGAGCCTGACGAGGGCTTTTCACACTAGTGTTTAATGAGCTATGTTCAGGTCCACTCCACATCCATCCCAGTCCATTATTGGCTCCAAAAAGCTTTCAAAATGTCATTTGAGCACTCAGTCTGTTTTACCAATAGCCTATTCATGAGCATGCCAACGGCCGTTCTCAAATAGGGCTATGTGAATTTTGATTTCAGACTAAAGTGTGGGGAATTAAAACATTGTTTTTTTGCATATATAATGTTGTGCAATGCTGTTATTAATTCAATCTCTTAAATTGGAGCCTCTTTTGATAAGATATTCAAAGACATGTAAACATGGACGACAATATGACTGTAAATTCTGCCTCCATAGCCTCTCTCTGTTCCTCAGATTAAGCCCAGACATGTTTTTATTGAGAGGCATAAACTGAATCACGCAGGATTAATTGCTGGCCTCACAGGTGTTTTAAAACATCTGTCTCCTGTATCTGTGCCCTAGGGAGTGTTGTTTTCTCTTTTTTTGTGCCATGAAACTATTTGTCCTTATGAAAAAACAAAAAAACACTAAGAGCAATGAACTAGCCTGCAGTGCAGTGCTCACTCCTTAGAGAGATGAGGACATCTTGAGTGAAGCCTTTCAATAAGAAAACTCACAAATAAATAATCTCCCCAGCATGTTCACTGTTTCTTTCGTAATTTATTGAGAAGCATTTTTTTCAACCACATAAGAACCTAACTACTGTTCTGGTAATTCATCTCTTCCCTGCCTCATAATAAGGGAATATTGGCAAATGTATCTCTGCCCTTGACTACACCAAGTCCATCATCAATTTAATGGCAACATAGCACAGAATGGCTCTGCAGCCAAGCTGTGATGCTTGCCTTGACAAATTCATTTCATTTTGAGGAACATAGGCAGTTAGATAAGAAAAATGTTTTTCATGAAAATGAAAAAAATCATCGGCCTTGCCAAATTTCAGTTTTGAATCAGTCAGCTATTTTCCCAAAGAAATAGGAATGTTAACTCAGTCTGTAGAAAAAAAAAAGTGTATATGAATAGAAAGGGGGCCAGGATGCTAAAATACAACAGTTAAGACATCTAATATCAAGAGGTAAAGCAAGTTTTTCCTTAGATCTTTTAGGGTTTACATAGCTTTACAAAGTATTTCTCATTGTCCGTGTTGGTGTTAGGGTAAGTGGAGTGTGAAAACTTGACCAGGAAAAAAGCAGAATCTCTTAATTCAAAAAATATATTTATTGGACAACATAAAATCACCCCCCCCAAAGCAGGGCAAAAATACAAAAGAAAAGATTCTTGAACAAAGTATAAACTGAAAATCCCTCTGAGAAAAGCACAGGAAAAAGTAAAACAAAAAGTCACTGTTGAAAACAAGAACAAAGTATCAACAGTAGTAGCCTGTAAAAAAACCCACAGTAAAGTAACAAACTAAATACTGCCAGCAGATGCACTGGAAAAATACCTCACTGGAATCTGCTGAACAGGCCACAAAACAAGTTTTTTCTAGAAAGATAAAGATGATCCGTAACACAGAACACAACAAACTCATTTCAAATGGTTTAAAGAAGCTAATTGGAAACACACTGAGCAACTTGCTCAGACTGGGAACTTGGAATTATTGGGCACCGTGGCTGCTTTGCCCTGTGAACCTAAATAGTCCAGGAGAAATTTATCCAAGGTGTGGGCTACGAGGCCACACCTCTCAAGGTACCTTGAGGCACAGACAAGCCCTGACATTTGTGGTGAGAGCTTCGATGTTTCCCCTCTCGCTTATATTATTTTTCAGTCTTTAGTTATTTAGTGTCTCTATTGTTGTTGCACTGTAAATACACTCTGGATAGTCACTTATTAAAATGAATTGGGTATATTTATGCATAGACACAACTTTCATTTTTATCCATGCTTTTAAAAACAAAAGGGATGTGGAAGTCAGAACTCTCCAGTCTTGAGCATCTGCTCTCTAAGATTTGTTTTTTATGATGAATTGGCAGTACTTTCAACCATCTTGTTGTAGAACTGTTCTGTCCCTTTTACTTTTTACACATTAGAAATAATATTGTTAAATTAAAGAAAACATTATGGCTTGCAATCAATCTGACCCTCTTCTATGACACACACACATTTACATATATAAAAATATTTTTTAATTTTAATCAGAAGCAGTGTGATAGTTCGCAAGCATACACTCTTACTGTCCAAAAAAATACAAAATAAATAAATGAACTTGTTTGCTGAAGGATAGTTGAAAATTAAGCATCATGAAATCATGAACATATCAGAAGATATTACTTTCAGAATTGTTTACAGACATGTGTGACTTTGACTGTAGCTGGTGGTTTCACATCAGCCATATCTGTGGAATTAGACTTTAGAGTTTCTCCCAACTTAAGATTGTGTATAGACGGCTTCTGAAGAAAGATGTCCTATTTCAAATCATAACCGATTGATAATCACCAGGACCTGAATCTGAAATGACGATGGAAAGGATACAGTCATTACAATAAGTTATCAAACGTTAACATCAAACATCTGTCATATAGTCACCGTCTTCATAACCAGACTTGAATTGAACTCAACACTGTTGTAGGTTATTTGAGTAAGTGCCAACAAGTCCTGCTCATCATGACTTATTCACAATGTTTAGTCTGGCTTCTCCCCAAAGAGGCCAGACAAGGGCATCATTTGAAAAAGAGAGGTTGGCTCAATGTATCATAGGCACATTGCTCAACGGGGAGCCTTGGCACATGCCAGAGATTTTACATATTTATAGAGTCAGAGGTGTTGTTGAGCTGTTAGTGCTTCCCCAGGGTTCATGCAGCAACAAGATCATTGCTTCTAGTGTTACCTCCTGTATGCTTTGTTACCCTCAAGAAGCTCTGGGAAACAAAAACATACAGGCATATTGTTTCATTATACACTTACCTAGAAAAAAACAGGAAACACTTTCAGTTGTAAAAGAAAGTCTCCTTTGATAACGACAGCAGTTAATCTGAAAACTGGAGCTTACGTTTGAGGATGGAGGCCTCATTCATGAAATAATATAAGTCCTATATGTCTTCTGAAAACCTTCTTTTTGATCAGCATCCAAAGAATTGGATTTTATTGGGGATGCTTAGCCTATTTTTTTGGTTTTGCTTTTTTCCAAAGGACTCAATAATTCCCATTTATGGAATGTGATCAAACTTTCCAAGTTTGTTTATGTTTTGTTCTGATGCATTATTGCTTTCAAACATTTATTATGTATTCTATTCAGATAGGCAACTTTGTTTGATGGACAATCTCAGTCTACAATTGCATAATATTGTTAGTTTATATAGTAAGTTTCTAAAGAAACTTACTGTGTAAACTACAATGTTTTTTTTTATTATATCATAACTATATTATTATGTTCTATTTATTATGTACTATACTCTATCATAGCATTATGTTGTGGTATTATTGAGTTGGAGATATTTTCTTTCAATGAGGAAAATATAATCAAATTGAATTATAATGCTCTATAATGTTAAACATTTAATGTTATAATGTTAAACATGTTCTGGTTTATCTTCATCAAAAGACATCTTGAACAGATTCAGTGGGTGTTTCAGAACATTTTTCCTTGTTGCTGTAACATAATCCAGACTATCCAGTGCTAACCAGTAACTGATAGTTAAGATGATGAAAAAGAAGCAAAAGAACATGCTGGGTAATGCTCAAGTTTTCTCTCAGCCAAAATATTTTTCTCTATTTTTTCTATTTCGAAATTGTCCCAATATGACAACAGAAAGTAGGACACCTGCTATGTCTGGCACCTCTCACCCTCCTCTGTCAATTAAAAGACTGAAAAAATGTCAAAGCCTTAAGGTCCAGTTTCGCATAATATCATTAACATAAAGTAGACCATCTGTTTGAAACCTTTCTCTTTTTTAAACTGCAACTTTGATTTTCTAATGATTTATGATTAGTGTTGCTATTGATCTCCCATTGACCAAAGTAAGAGAATAAAAAAAGAACGATGCCACAGACAAGTCTGGAATCGAGCTGACAATACAGCAAATACCAAAATGATTGCTGAAACACAGTGACAGTTTGACATGTGCATTTGCAAGTAAGGCAGCAGTACATTTAAACATACATAAAGTACATATAGTACATTTAAATGGGAGATGTTGTTTGAGGAATATACTTAATCTAATTTCCCTTTGTACCTTTACCTTCTATAAAAATAGTTTTAATTAACTACTGGGCTTCATTTTCCTTTTGGGCACCTCTGACGATATGCAGATTTAAAAACTAATCATATTTGATACAGTATGGTTACACTAATTTGATGATCATTATTCATATAGCAGTATTTGTCCTTATATATTAGTGGTAGTATCTATTATTGTCAATGACGTGTCTTAAAACTGCATTCTTCTTCAAAACACAACAGAAAGATGTTGCTATTATTATAGTAATTAAAAAGATACCAATAAGGCAAGAGCCCACTGTGGTTAAAAAGGATGTGGGGCATAGTAGGAGACTAATCAGCAATTCTGAATATGAGATTGGCTTATCAGGTGGCCTGTTGGGTGCAATTCAACTATCATTTTGTTATTCTACAGACAACAAAGATAATGGATGGAAATACAACACACT